ACATCTCGTTGATTCCAGTTTCAACACAAAAGCAATTACTCAGCATTAGCAGCTGTGTCTTCATTCTGAGAATCATTGTCCACACATGAACGTGTTACTATGTTACTATGAAGCAGGGAGGGACAATGAATGAAGCCGCGCCAAAGATTCAAATCAGTCACCTCGCTTCAGGTGTTGACAGTCTTTCGAACCAGTCTGCTTCAATAGAGCAAAACAGGCTTCGGAGCCTCGCGGTGTCAAACGTCCCATCTCTACTACAAACATTTTCTTTTGTTTGGGTTTAAAACACGGCAGGAAGATTGAATTATATGGTTTTTAAAAAATCATCAACAGGGAAAAATACAAATGCTACAAAAATAAATATAAACGTGTACGTTAAAAGGCTAACCTTAGCATGTAAATGTACACGGCAGGACATACAGTATATTAGGAGACTTATTTAGTGTGCGACTTTTTCTGAGAGCAATAGCGTTGATCCGGGCATGCGCAAAACAAAACGGGCGTGTTTTAAATCAGATCCTCCCAAATGTCTGAAACTGCGCAGTGCGCAGGGCAAAAGCGACCCTCTAACCGGGGTAGGCAGCGACAGTCTTGGGTAATTAGATTTCGGCGTCCAAACAGTTCACTTCATTTCGTTTTAATTCAAACCCGCAGATCCAGAACTAAGGATATTAACCGACGTTTATCTGGCGGTGTGTGGTTTCAAGAACGCGAGTCAACCCACGAGAGCAAGAAATCACGAGCAGAAGTTCACCGAAGTTTCTCCGTATTCATCATGGAGGAGAAGAAGGAGGAGGAGGAGAGCGAAGAGGAGATCCACGAACACGGACCCGAGCACTGGTTCTCCAAATGGGAGCGCCAGTGCCTCGCGGAGGCCGAGAGGGAAGAGCCGAGCGAGGAGGAGGTGGAGCAGAACCAGGAGAAACTCTGGCACCTCTTCCAGAATTCCGCTACGGCGGTGGCGCAACTTTATAAAGGTCTGTACGCAGAGAAAGAGACCCCACCAGCGGCCCTCCGACTTCCAGCAGCTCGGCTAGAGAAACCGTTCGCTCTAGAGAAATATCTCGTAAACCCGTTGTTTCTAGAACGGACCGCACGTTCCGACCTAAAAGCCACTAAAAGCCCTCATTTGGCCACTAAAGTGACAAAAGCAGCGTTTTATCTTTGTTTTTCACCGTGTGAATGAGAACTAGCTTTAGCTGCGCCGGTCTGGCGGTGTTTGACAGTTTGTTCGTTGTTATAGTGGCCTTGCTAACCGGCTAGCCGGCTAGTTAGCCACTTAACATGAGTTTTTTTGTAACTCGGTTAAACCGTCTGTACTGGAAAAGCTTATTTTTTTGAGTGGAACGCATTTACGTGTTATAGGCTTATACAATTACGCATTATAGGCTTATACAATTACGCATTTTGACACAAAGCTCTGCCGGTTAGTGAGCTAGCTTATGTCCTTTTGTGGCCGTGTTTCAAAACCAAGTGTACTTAACTGTCTGCCATTGTGCAAAAGAGGCACGTTCGAACGCACCTATGTGACCCTAATATGTTGTCCGTGTAGGAAGGACACTAGGGTTTGACACAGCCGTTGTCTGGTTAACAGGCGATATTTGAACTCGCTCTTAAATGGATAGTTAGTTTACCCAAAAATTATTGCGCATATTTGTCTCAACATTTAGTGATATGGTGGTTATTGTTTGTTTAAAATGCAATAGTATTAGCCTAATATAAAGTGTGTGTGTATGTATATGTGTGTGTGTGTGTGTATGTATGTAT